ATTATAATATTTTACACTAAATTCCTTAATACATAGATACTTTACTAAGCCGGATGAAATTCGGCTCGTACACTATTCCATCCCCGATTATTTCCGTTGCCAGTATGGTACAATTATCACATACTATATACAATTTTTCCACCTGATACAAAATAAATTAGATGAAAAAATTAATACGGAATAAATAAGTGAATCGAATTGATTAAAATCAGAGATCTTTCGTTTACATGAATGCCGTAACAGTCTGGCGTGAAGGACATGTGTAAAATCATTTCGTCATTTGCTTTCAGTGAAAAGTATGCAGGAGAGATGGTAAAACAGGGTAATTCCAGAACATTCATACTCGTAATATCCTATCGAGAGAAGCATGAGAAGAATGTTTTTAACGAAGTCAAGAGGATATACATGGTGTCTCTGAAGTGATGATTGATTTTACTTTGATGTCCATGGTGAACCAGTCGGTTTCGCTCATTATGAAAAATCGACCCTCTCCACCAGCATTTTCGAATTTGATAGGAATATAAACCTCTTCTCCTACGAAACTTTTCTTGCAATCGAAAGTCGTGCTCACGAAACTGTCTTCTATAGTGCTCCAAGTGACAGCACTTTCAGTGGTAGTCGATATGGTAGACTGTCGATTAAATTTATAATTACACTTAGAAATACTGTTTCTTTGCTATAATCTGGACTGAATATATCTGGACGGCGAAGGACACTCCCCCTCCCTACTATTTCGTTTGGTTACTCATTCATACTACATATCTCTGTTCTCTTGGTTCTTACCTTGTGAAGATCAAAAAAAGAAAAAGAAAATTTTACAAAAAAAGATTATAATCCAATGTTTGTGGAATTTATTACATTCTAAGGAAACAAATTGCAGGAAAAAGCGAATAGGTAATAGAAAGAAGAAGAGTCGAGAAGATGAAGTAATTTTCAGTATAGTAAGAATTTCTAGGCATAAGAAATCTGCAGATGCCAGCTATAATAGGCCACACTTGTCATTATTAATCAGAGAGTAAAATACGTTTATACTGTGGAATGACGTCACCACGTCCGCGTTCGAAGACTGTTCCAACAACTTCATGTCTGCATTTGAACGCTTACAAGTTATCTTTTCTAACATACATGTTCCTTAAAAGAAGAAAAAACATTCAATAATACTTTTCACCATTTTTTTTTTTTTGTTTCTAATTAAATTTTAATTAATATAAAATAATTTTTAAAATAATAATTGTACATTTATTTAAATAATTTTTAAAATAATAATTGTACATTTATTAAAAAAATTTTCTTTCCTTCTGGAGTATGTATTAGGATCGCTCTAATCTACTTACAACATGGCAGTGTTGTTATCTCAGTTTCTGAAAATTGGACGTTTACAAAGTTGTGGTATGGAACCGTTCGGTTATTCTTTTATCACTTCATTACCAAACAAAATCGGAGGGTCTTTGTAACCGTGCAACCGAATGATTAATGACCTTCCGTGCTGCACGTTCAATACCAGCATCTCTTCTGGCTCATCGATGTCGTCGCAACGGAACAGAATGATCAATTGCAGTTGCATCCCCGGTGGAACGATGCTTCTGTTCTCTATCACTGGGTTCACTATAACACGGAACTTCGAACGGTACGGCCTTGGCTCTATTTGAAATCTTGCTGGGGCATTGCTCACGTTTTGCAACGTGACTACTTTCTGTCAGGCAGCAATGTTTTTATTTTATTTTTATTTCATGGAACGAATTTATCAAGATACAACACACTCAAGATCGTGGTAACACATTTTGTTCATAATAGGAGCATAATCATGGATAAACGAGGAAACAGTTCACCAGCTTTATTATGCCAGATGACGCAAAAATCTATGCTGCACCCTTTCAAGTGAGCTTCTTAGAATTCTCCCAATGTTGATTACGAAACGATGGAATCGATCGGTGGATATACTCACCTTGTATACCTTCTTCAGCTCAAAGTTACGAAATTGCACGTAATTTGTGTCCACTACCAGTATCCTCTGTAGCGGATCTATCTTTATTATGCTTCTCTTCACCTGACCTCTTATCCATGGTCTTGCCTTGAAGCATCCACTGATTCACGAGATTCACATTCGTAATTACGGCTGTGAAATTGTTTTTGTACAAGTACCTGTCGATACGAATTTTTGGAAGGGACGTCACGTTCGATAATTCTGGTTTTAAGGTTGGTCTTCTTCTTGGTCTCAATCTTGAAGATTCTACTAATTTCTTGTATTCATCCCAAATTCTCACTTTTGGTAGTTCTATCAATTCACTGGGATGCGTATCTGCAGAGGGAGGTTTTAATGGCTTGTTCGTTTTTAGATGTTTCTTCAAGTTATGTACAGTAGTTGGAACGGATACAGTGAAGTCGTAAAAATGATATCTCATATCAATAGAAATCTGAGAATTAACAGCCCTGAAGAGAAGAATGCCTCACGAAGTATGTCTTAGCTTCGGTTTAGTTGTCACTAGATCAATCAGTGTGTCGCTACTTATGGCTTCAGTTTATGACCTCACTATATCGGTTCCCTCAACTATACCTAAGTGAGCTTCCTGTTCTTCATAATCAGTATCTGTGGGTTTTATTCTCTCCTCGGATTTCGACTCGTCTTGAACGATATCTGTGCAGTATTTCAACGTTTTTATATCTGCTGGACAGGCATTTCGTAGTTTATCTTTGTAATTCTACAAAAACTATAGTTGTTACTATTCCGTGTTGTTACGTATTATGTAAGAGTTATGGAAGTACTAACGCAGACTAAGTAGGTGGATGTGCGTTGTAGTATCACATTCTTTTGAGCAGATTGAACGAGAATGTTTGATATTTTCCAATTATAGTTTTTCTGTCGTGTCGCGTCTTGAGGGCTGCTTCTTCGAACAGATTTTGCATTCTCGTGTCCCTCGTTGTTTTTCGCGTAAAAATCTCTTGTAGGATTCATCATTTTGAATGTAATATTTTAAACGAAACCTTCGTTAAAAATAACAAACGAAGACGCGATATTTAATTGCTTCTTAATACACAAGGTGACCGATAAATATATGGTAGAGGAATACAGAAAGGAAGGAAGAGAACATGTGGATTAATTTTAAGACTATGATTTATTTGGAAACAATTTTTTTTATATAAAGGTTTAGAGAATGAAGTTCTATGTACAAAAGGATTACGTTAGTAAAATACTAGGATTTTATATTCCTGGCCGTACATCGTGCAAAATAGTTTCTTCTTATATACCGAGATATAATTAATAATCGTTCTCGTCACGTGCAGTTCTTTTCTCTTTATTTTATTGCGAGTCTCAGACTGCCTATAATTAAACGCTTGAATCTAGTTCAACCCTATCATTATATTTATCAAAACGTTCGACGAAAAAAACACTGGAGGCTTTCGTCGCACGTTAATCGCACGATACAATCACAATAAGGTACACTTATTATTTATATTTATAATCATAATCAGTTATTCGTGAATACAAACAATTCGTGTTTGACAATTTCATTTTAAGTCCCATATACATATAACATGTATAATCGTTTCAACACGCAATAATTCTCCATTTTGTCATCATTATCATTCTTTTCTCGTTACTTTACGTATATGACATTATAGATTACGCTTTGTACAATCTAATAATACAAACAATATTATCGTGAATAACGATAAGAGTCCATCATTTTGCACAAGGTTGATTGAAATCTAACTTGTAAAAAAAAAAAAAAAACCATTGTTTGATAGAAGCATATTAGCGCGAAAAGCGTTTCTCGACGAGCAACGGTGAAAGTTTTGATAAATTTGAAATTTGTTCGTCACATTGATAACGTGTGTTCAATAATATCGTGTAACCTGAAAAGGAATGGGCTTGACTGAATAATGAGACGCGCTGTAGATGTTCCATTAAACATTGTATTTTTTGTTTGTCTGTTTTTTTTCTTTAATCTTTCCTTTCTCTGTTAAAGCCTTATAGATTTAAAAATTATGTGTTCCTTTTTTTTTGTTTTATTTTTATAAGAGTGCACTTATTCGTTACCTATCAAAGAGTTAAGCATACACAGTCCATGAAACGCCAAAGAAAAAAAAAAAAAAGAAATACGTTCCTTTATTTTTTTTTTTTTTCATTGCGATCGATCGTGTTAGTTAATTTACAATGTACGAATTTATGAAATCCATACCGAACGTCCATCGGTGTGATACGATTTGTAACTAGGAATAATCGAAAAAGAAAAGAACCTCTCTCTATTCCGATCATCATTCACGTAGATCTTGTACGATGAAAGATATAACACGGAGTCAAACTAGGTTCAAGCTGTTTTTCTTCACATAGAAATTAGCCCCGATAAGAGTAATTCAATTTTAGTAATTTCATTTTCTTTCTCCCTATAATATTTACAATTCACGAAACGCCGATCTGTTTCTTTCACAACTATCGGTATGTTCTTCGCGACTCCCACTCTATAACTTGACTGAACATGTATGTATGTATGTATGTATGTATGTATGTATGTATGTATGTATGTATGTATGTATGTGTGTGCGCGCGCGCGCGCGCGAGTGTGTGTGTATGTATGTATGTATGTCGAGCCATGTGAGCTTGGACTTTGTATGCGGAGGAAGAAAGGTCTTTATTAAAAGCCTATTATTGTGTGTGGAAAATATAAAACCCCAGATTATACTTCACTATCCTACAAATACAATGCTTAGCTCAAACGCATAAACGGTGTGTCGTTTTCTTTTCTCGATAGAAGATGTAATATGTTATTATTTCCCTTCACGTTCGCGTTCGCGTTCATTTCTGTCCACTTGTGTTTATAAATTAAATGAATTAAAAGATTAAAATTTCTGTCGGATTATTTCCGTTATTACAGTGAAACATAAATTTCTAAAACAAGAGTAGTAGTCATTTTATCTATTAATCTAAATTCTAGATTTCTGTATTTACGATTTTTGTTTTCATATTTTGTTTGTTTTTTTACAATACACCAGCCGTGTGTGCGTGCGTGTGTGTTTGTGTGTATGTATGCGCGTGTATACATGTGTACGTGTATTTCTTTCATTCCATTTTCACATTGTATTTGCTTTAACTGGAGAAACTGGTGAATAATTTATCATCCATTGCAATTGTACGAAGTGAACGTTCTTACATATATACAACCCACGATCACCCTTAAGCGTACAACTTCACGTTGTAAAATTGTGTAGTTCGATGCATGATCGTTTTTTGTTTCTTTTTATCCTTTCCGCGTGATATCAACGTTTAAGTGTCTCTTCACTTGCCAAGTCCGAGCGCAGCGTATTGTTCCTCCGTCACTTCGGTCATCATCAGGTTTCCGTCAGGTAAGAGTAGGACAACTCTTCTAGTACCACCTAATATAGCAACATAAGACCATGAAAATCTAAGTATCCAATAACAAGAACCACTATTTATGTACTTGTCATGTATTACTATTTTTTCTTTCATTTTTATATATGAATGTTTAATTAATTCATTAATTGTTACTTATGAAATAAATTACCAAAAATTCAGTACATTACCTGGAGTAGGTTCTTCTGCTTGTACAACTTGAGCTACAACTTGTCCATGACCATCGGCGTCTTCCTGTCCTTCGGTCACATCTGTTGTGTTCGTATTGTCCATAATGGACATTACCATTGGATTTTCAGTAGGTTCAGCTCCACCTTCCTTCACGTAGAACTGCGAGGCCAAGTTCACTTGATCAGGTATCAGCTGAGCAACTGCTTCCGCTACAGCATGGTCCAACGTTAACACGGATCCCTCGTCTCCTTGTTGCTCCGTGGTAACGTACACGCATTGTTGTTCGCCGTCAGCGTCTCGCGTTACCAATAACGTCTGGCCATCCTCAGCTTGACCTGCCACTTGGTAAACTACACCGTCCTCACCCGTGATTGTCACCAAATTCGACGTGTCCTCAGCTACTTTCCTCTCCTCCGGTATTTTCTCCTCAGCCTTGACTCCGTCGGTAGAAGTAATTGCTATTGTGCTAGTAGAGGTAACTGTTGCTGTTGTCAGTCCTGCTGCGATAGAAGAGTCACTTGCAGGTGTTGCTTCTGTTAATGATGTTGTCGTTGTTGTGGATGGTGTGGCCACGGCAGGAGCTGTGTCATCTAAGCAAGGAAGGTCTGGAGCAGGAACGGAGACGTTCGTCAGGTTGATCTGCGCTGGCTCACTGGTCTGGACGATTGTACCTGTTGTTCCACCGGGGCTCATTTCGACTCTCATTATTCCACCACCCTCTGTAAGAGAATCAAGGGAAGGTAGAACCAGTTCTGTGGTGGTACTTGAAGCATTGACGTCTATACTCTCGGATGTAGTTGTAGTCGTTTTGACAGTAGACAACGGTGTACCGGTAGTTTCAGGCTCAGGTTCCTGCTCGGCTGGTTGTTCCACAGGTTCACCATCCGGTCCGATGATACGTCCTGTCAATGGACACAATGTGAACGGCCTGGGTGGACTGTCCGGTTCCGTGGTGGCGATAGTATCAGCCTCAGAAGGAGGAAGTTCCGGTTCACCTTCGCTGCTACTTTCTTCAGAGCCAACTTCATGGAACTCCATGTGAAGACCATCACCATCCGCCAATTTACTCTCTTTTGGTTTGTTACCCGGGGCGGATGCTGATGGTGTATCAGCCAATTTCCCTCTGCCTCGTCCAACGGTAGCACGAGCACCTGCTAGGAGGCCACGGCCACCTGGTTTAATGATACCCGCTGCTTCTTGAGCTTTCCTTTTTGCCATTAATAACTTTTGCTGCGGAGATAATAATGACTGTGGCTTACCAACTGCTGTTTTCGGTGATTGTTTAGCCTGTTGCACTGGACTAGTTCCAGACTTTACCACTTGCTTCGGCTGTGAACTAAGCACCGTAAACTTCGGTCTAATCTGAGTAACATTTCCAGGACTCACCGAGTTACTTTGCGTAGTTACAGCCGTTGTACGTTTTTGTAGCACCTGACGTGTTTGCTGGGACTGAACTTGTCTTGGGGCTGGCGCCCTAACAGGTGTGCGGATTGTTGATCCGATTCCGAGTACGCTAGTTGGTGTTGTCGCACGCAGTGGAGGTCTCGGTAACAAAGGACGACCGTCCGCACTGCGTTGGCCTGTAACAGGTCCAGGACGTATTCCTGTACTTATTCTTGGCTGCAAAGTTATAGGAGCCGGCACCGCGGTCACGACATGTATCTGCGGTAACTGTGTCGGATCTGGTTTCGGCTGGATCTTTATAGGCTCTGTTTTCTGTGTACCTCCTGCTTTACTCGTAACAGGCTTAGAAACTACTTTCATCTGGGTTACTACTTGACTTCCATCCATTTTAGAAACCACCTTTACCGGCGTTACAGAATTTGACTGCGATGCAGATATTACTTGCTTCCTCACTACGTTAGTATTATCTCGATTTTGAACCATCAAAACACCTTGTGTGGTTGGCGAACCTTTTACGGCCAATTTCCCGCTAGGGGATGAATCCAACTTGATGATGCCATCTTTCCGTGACATTACGTACACGCCGGACGTTAAATTTGGCATTTGCTTCGGGTCAACTTTAACGACTCCTTTGGCGTTCGCGACTAAAACCGGTGGTTGGTTAGATTTTGCTCCTTCGGGAGATTGAAGTCCCAATGAAGTTGCAAGATCTGTAGACGAACCACTTGCTCTGTTAGAGCCATTCGATTGAGCATTGGCACGATTAAATGCGCGTTGAATCACATCGCTTCGACCCAACAATCTTTCCTCCTCGGACTCTCCAGTCCAATCTTCGTCACTACCTGTGTCGCCTTTCGCTCGTTTCGCAGCGCTGCTACCTCCGTCTTCGGAATCGCTCTCAGAATAATCCATCCTCCTCTTCCCTAATACTAAACGAATTTTCCAAACTTAATATTTTTGTCACAATTATTATTAATATATGCTATATTCTAAATATACACGTACGGTCATTATCTTCATCTTTCATCGAACCACACCATTGCTTCACTTGATCCATCGCTTTTGATTTACTTGAGCGCATGGGTCGCCTACATAGAGTTTATCATTTAATATATTGCATTTATCAAATAGAAGAGATATGCGAGCAAGTTTATAAAACTGTAGGCAAAACACAATTGCCTTACCCTACTTGAGCTGCAGTACTTGGTCCAGGTTTTGCTTCTGTTTTTATAACTGTTTTATGAGCAGGGTGACCTCGTCCTGCTGCTTTTGCGTTACCCTGCTGCTGAGCTGCTTTTAATTCTTTTTGTTTAGCTAGGTTTCTTTCAAATTCTTCTAATAAGTGTTTACATGTGGCTACATGCTCAGCAGGCTCCCATGTATTATGTTCGCTGTAATTGTTTGCATATTTTTATCTGATAATACTTGTACTGATAACTTGTTTAACGTAACATGTCATTTGTTTGTCTATAAAGTTATACTTGGATCATAAATTAAACTTACTGTCCATAACCTTCCCATTTCAGTAGGTATTCTGAACATCTCTTTTTGGGATTAAATCGTTTTGCTAATATTTTTTCTACGGTATATTCTTCATCGCTGGAATCTCTATCATCGTCACCAGCTTTACTAGATTTACCCTATAATAACAAATAAATTACAAATTTTTGTATAAATTGAAAAACTGATGAAATGTGATGAAGCTAACCTTGGGTTTTATCGACGGTTTTAACTTTGGCTTTTCTTTCTTTTCTACTTCGTCAAAAGATTCATTACTTTTTTGATTCTTTGCTTCTGATTTACTATCCCTTTTACTATCGGCATCTTCTGGCTGTCCGTTCCTAATAACTTTACGGACAACTACTGGTTTGCCTATAAATCACAGAATAACTCCAAAATACTGTTCACTTAAATTTTTATAAAATTATTATTTTTAAAAAATCCACCTTCTGCATTAGTGCTTATTTGATTTTGCCTTGGTACATCCTGCATTTTTGCATTACTGATTTTTGTAAAAGTTTGAATAGTTTTCCCAGCAGCAATCCAGGAATCTCTTATGTGCGTATCCATTTTGCACCATTTTTGATATAGTTTCCATGAATTTGTTGAATCCCTATCTGAACCTTCCTGGTGAATTTGTGAATCTTTCCATAAAAGGAAAGCCCACACTTGTGCTTTTTGTTCGTTCTATAAAAAGTTGAAACAAAATAGTGACAGTGTTGTATCAGCATTGGTGCTCATTATTATTATTGTGTATGTAAGGTGCTTCATAAATATTATACTAACATTACTATTTTCACGAAAATGTGAAACTTGAGTACAAGCGCCTTCTTTTGTACGATGCTCTTGAAACTCTTCAATAAAATGAAAAACTGAATGGCACTGTCCACACACAAGAACATCTAACCTTCCCATCTCTTCTTGTGCAGCTAACAAAACATAATAAAGTTTATTATTTAAAATTTTGAAACCAATTCAATCACTTATAATAATATACATTATGAATAAAGTACATAAAATAAATTTATCAACAATGTTCCCCTTACATTTGTAGAAATTGGTCAGTATGTCAGGTCCTTCATTTTTATGTACCAATAACTACTACTGACATTTTAGTAATACAAATTATTTATTATGAAACTGTTCAAAAGAATACATGTATACAAGTTTCAAATTTTAATAATAGCTTTTATCATATAACAAATTATCTGTATCTTTAATTTTATAACATGATTAACATTATCAAATACATATAATTGTACTAATCAGCAGAATTTTCCTCTTGAACTTTAAAGTTTTTCACATATTTCAGTACTCATAAGCGTATTATTATAAGAATGAAATGAAGAATAGTTGATAGTTTATGCAACAACTATCTAGTAAGAGTAATTAATTATAAACATTACCTTTAATAGCAGTAGGATTACTACTGATGGCCGAAGGGCCATCGCCTCCCTCCATTTTGTTCAATAAAGTTTTTGAGTCTCTATCCACTATGTTTCTTTCTAAAACATAAAATATTCTTTTACTTTTTATGATAGTATACTTTGTATATGTTATACTGAATGTACACAATGAAGCAAGTAACTAATGATAGTGCACTGATGATAAATCAACTCTATTGTTTAATACTTATTTGTAATTACAAATTTTAACTTCACTGTGCAATTACACGTTTAAGCATGTTTAACCTCAACACAAGCAAATCAAAATTTGAATTAAAAAATCCATATTTTAGGTTGATTAATTAATTGGAACATAGAGGAAAATTATAAAAAGAACAATTAATTGTAACCACGCAATCTAACGCACAATGTTCACTCTTTATGCAATAAATGTTCGTAACACATTTCATTAGCATTATTTACGCAATGTATCAATGAACATTATTCGATCAATTTTTTTAATCAAATATGCAATAAATTGATAAAAAAATTAAATTTTCTTTAATAAACAATCTGAAAACGTTATAATATTGCTCTTTCGTTATATTGCAATGAAAAGAAAAAAAACTGCAACATTCGGAGTTCGAAGTTTCGCGGGCGTCAGAAAAATTTACACGCAACATGCCGGTGGAAATCGAACTGCGAATATTTTTTAACAAGACACCACTGCCGTTGTTACGGTGATTCAAAGGTTCACTATATACATACACCGCTACCACTGATAATTTTGTAAACCGTCTGCGATTCCAAGCGTTATCATAGGGCGTATTTTGCGAAACCTTTTATTTAAACTAAACGAATTCCCGCATAAATGGTAAGACGTCGAGACACACAGCATGGAGTCATTGTAAACGCGGCCAGTGGCGTAAGTTACCAACGAATAAAACTCACAGATAATTCGATCTTGAAATAGTAGCCGGCTCACCGTGAAAGATCGTTACCGATAAAAGCGACTATTCTAACTGCAGATAACACGGGCGTTTAGAATTTACAGAAACATTTAGAAACGATGCCATTGCCGCCGCCGCCACCGCCACAAACTCGTCCTCTGTCTATCACGAGCAAGCCGATGCTCGTCAAGATGGCTCTCGTCACGAAAACTCTCCTCGACTATTCACTTCCTGTCTACCCATGAATATTTTTCGAACACACTTGTCCGTTACCGATTTCAATGCGATCTACCCTCAAACCAATGATATCGACTTACGCCCGCTAAACCGTGGAAAAATCAGATTTCCTTGATCTGGATAATTGCTGTTGCCGCACGAAATGGGATGAAAACAGTGATCGCGTCTGACGATGGTGGCGCCATGGCGCCTGTCCGCCACGGTAACAGCTTACCTTTTGGCGGGAAAATATTGTTCATTAATTTAGATTTATCCTCTTTTATTGATGACACTATTTCTGTTGAACTTCGTCTTACACTTGTAATATTATATTCGAGATGAATCGTCGAAATAAAATAGCAAATGACTTTCAAAAAGATGTTACAATTGCAAATGTTCGTTACTGGTTTTAAATATGCCGCTTTTCCTCATCAATTTCATCCATGTTCCGGCATAAGATCGCGTATAGAAAAGGCAAGTTTATGTTAATTGATGTCAAGACGATTTCGTAAATAGTCATTGGTTATTACGCGCAGATTTATAAATTGTGTATGATGAATAGTTGTTTAATTTAATTATTGCTATTCCTAGAGCTACTTACGCTTTGTCTTTATGTCCTATACATTCTTCCTAATTTATGAGGAAAAATTTAGAATAAATAAATTCTTGTATCGACCGGGCACCGTGTGGAGATTTTACATTCGGTGCATGAATATTTGTATGCGAAGTTGTTATATTTTTATGAAATTTCCTTTTTTAATTAGAACTTTGAACTGTTAAAGCTTTTAAAGTATTAAGAAACATTATTGTTTTCAATCATAACGATGGTCCGTTATTTTTAATGTCACCAATAATATAAACAACATTAACCTAATTTTCACACAATATTGAATAACATTGTATAAAGTAAGCATTATTTCGAATCTATTCATGAGAAAATTGGAATATAACTTTTCAATTATACAAACTGAATATTTAATTGTAATATTTATTTCAGAAATTAAAAAATGGCTGATGAAGAAGAAGAAAAGGAATACAGATGGGAAACTGGTTATGAAAAGACATGGTATTAGGACTTTTTAAATTAATTCAACTGATTTTCACCATAGAATTATTTTATATAAATAATTTTTTTAAAGGGAAGCAATCAAGGAAGATGATCATGGATTATTGGAAGCATCAGTTGCAGATATCATTCACAATGCTAAGAGAAAGCGTCAGATGGAAAAAAAGGTTGGTGCCAGATTAGGAATGATGAGGCATGTTTACATAATTCTTGATGCTTCTGAATCAATGTCTATTCAAGATTTGAAACCAACTCGTTTTTTGTGTTCTTTAAAGGTATTAATTTGTACATAGTATAATAATGTATGTGTTATTATGTCTTACTTCTAAATGTAACTTAATTTAAGCTTTTAGAAGACTTTATTGAAGAATTTTTTTACCAAAATCCTATAAGTCAGTTAGGTGTAATTATTACAAGGAATAAAAGAGCAGAAAAAATTAGTGAATTAGCTGGAAATTCTAAGAAACATGTTAAGGTAAATATTTGTGAAATACTCTTAAGAGTTTTGTTTTGTCTTAAGAGTACTATTTCTAGGAAGTACAAAATATGCAACAAATAGCACCAGCAGGTGAACCTTCATTACAAAACTCTATAGAGTTAGCTTTAAAATCATTACGTCTTCTACCATCACATGCTAGCAAAGAAATACTCATAATTATAGGAGCACTTACAACCTGTGATCCAGGAGATATTAATGAAACTATACAGGTTTGTATTATAACACACAGTATGTAGCTTAATAGATGTCAGAATATTAGAATTAGTTTTGGTTTTAGAATCTCAAGTCTGATTGTGTAAGGTGCAATGTGATAGGATTGGCTGCAGAATTATTTATTTGTAAAAGAATGGCAACAGCAACTGGTGGAGAGCATGGTGTTGTACTGGATGACAAGCATTTCAAAGAACAGTTGAATATGCACATAGATCCACCACCAGCTGCTACTAGATTAGATGCTGCTCTTGTAAAAATGGGTTTTCCTCATCATGCATTACATTCTTCTACGAATGATTCAGCTATGGCAGTCTGCATGTGGTAAATAATTCTTTAATTACCTGTTTATATGTGGATGTTCTTAAAAAAAAAATTCTGCATACTTTCTACTTGTTTTACAGCCATGCAGAAAGTTCGGACGAGTCTGTTAAACTTATTAGTACAGGATATCTTTGTCCTCAGTGTTTGAGCAAACATTGTGAACTGCCTGTAGAGTGTAGAGCATGTGGACTAACTTTGGTGTCTGCTCCACATTTAGCTCGGTCCTATCACTATTTATTCCCTGTTGAACCTTTCGATGAAGTTGGATATAGTGGAACTCCTTCAACCTGTTATGGTTGTCAGAAAACTTTGTCACAAAAAGATAAAAAGGTATGCTTGGCAAATACGATTTACCAAGAAAAACATGTGAATTTAATTTACAAAATGTAAATTGGGACTGAAATGATTTTCAGGTGTACATTTGTAATAAATGTAGTCAAACATTTTGTTTAGACTGTGAAATATTTATTCATGAGTCTTTACATACATGTCCAGGCTGTGCTACAAATCCGGAGACATATCAAAGAACTGCAGAGAGACCTTAATTTATTTGATGTATGTAAAATAAAAATAATAATTTTAATTATTTCGAATTAAATATTTTACTTATAGAAAGTATTTCCTCTTATCACAGAGGAGTGGATCAGTAAAAAGACAATAATAACAATAATGGGTGTTCATCTGTCTTTTCCTTTACAGTAACTATTACCTATTGAATATACATTTAATATTTCAAGGACATTATTAAGTACCTTGTAATAATACTGGCCTACCCTATTGTCTTATGAAGAGATTTTGTATTTCGACGGTATAGTTGCAACGTACAGAAGTATGCTTAGACAAAAGGAAAACAAGAGAATATGAGTTGTTTGTGTACATTTGAATGATACACAGGCTTCTTTCCCCCAAGTAAGGAAGCCGAACTTTTTTGAGTGGTAACGCGGCCGCTTTAAAATCATGGTGGGAGGTGATTGAAGTTTATTAGCTAGCGGACAGGTGGAAGCGAGCATCGTGATATTAGAGCACATTATTAGTTTGCGATCGTCCTCCGGTGCGATCGGTTCCACTGTGTCTCTCTACTTCTGATTCAATTACGTATGTCCATCCTGTCTGGACAAAGTGACTTTATATGTGAGACATTTTCCACACACCTGGTTTCCTTTCTAACACGCATCTTCGCAGTCAGGTAAGGAAACTTTTATTCGCGCCGGACGTATTTTCCTGAACAATGAGCAACAAGTGTTTGACATTAATTTCCATTCTCAATTAACTTCGTAATGTGTACAAATATTTGTATGAACAAAGAATATGTTATGTACGTTTTAAAAGTACAGTTTTACTGTGTTTATAATTATTTAGATATAGGATATTTTGATGATAATGCATGTGTCCATTGTTATCTACTTTTTCAAATACACCTTCTAAAAACCGTCGTTAATTTCATTTTTTTTTTTTTTTAATATTCTTCGTTCTTTTGTTTAACTCTTCATAACGGTCATTTTACCTGTACAGAAGTGTGCAGGGGCACCCGTGTGCGCGTGGTGGGTCCGTTGTACAGTTTGTACACATATACAGCGGTGAATGAGAAGGTGTCAGTAAATGTAGAAATAGAAGGTTGTTACCGGCTTTTGCAATGTTTCTTCATAGTAGAATTTAATCAGTCTGAAATTGGCTCATATACGGGAAAAGTTATATAGTACATATTTAATGTTTCTTTTTCTATAGTGCTTTGTGGTAAAATCATTTAAATTGCTAATTTATAACTTGTAACGAAGGTAATTACTGTTTAGCAACGCATTTGTTCGTAAATGTCAATGTCACTAGGAAATGTATGGTTTGTAAAACAATTGGAGGTCGTAAATACATTATTAAATTAATTACACTAACAGATATTGATGTTGCGTCTTGATTTATGCTTCATTGTTAATTTGCGAAATATTTACATCATAAATGATGTCAGTAAAAAATAATTTTTTTTTTTGACACGAATCAGTTGGTGAATAAATGAATAATTTCATTGTTTTCTGTGACTTATTGTATTAAAGTGATTGATTTAATTTGATCAGTCGCTTCATTTGTGTAAAATGATCGAGGCAATTTAGATAACAAGTGGCGCATCGTTAATAAATATAGCACATAAATCATACCAAATTTAAAGATGACAAAGTATTGATTATTCCATATCATAACTCAAAAAGTTTAAAGAATTAAAATGTTATTAGGATTATTTAAACCGAAGGGTGTTCACTTTCCATCTAATTTAATTAAATAAATTATGCGATTTTATATATCGTAGTATTTTATTTTTAACCGCAATCTTTTAGATGTAATTAAGGCTAAAGATAAAATGTATCATATATATGTCGATTCTCATCATTCGATCTTCATTATTTAATCGAATGATAAATCGATAATCGAATAACTTGTTTTCCGGTGGGGATGTTATTGAGTTATCTTATTGGCCCGTCAAATTTAACGTTTAACGAGACTAGCAAATGTGTAGAGTGTACGTTTTTGCTTAGAAATGCATTTCCTTTAGAAAACAAAGACGAATAAAGAAAATTCTTCGTGAAGAATATATTCCGTGCGACGCGTTCAAGTTTACCATATGATTTCCTTTTTCATTACAATTGTACCGTACGGACATTGAAAGAATTCCTTTCTCTTTCATTAGTGCTTTCAAGCCGCATAGCACTAAACTGGTTGCGTGCATAACATTCGATACCCGGTTAAGGATACATATGTACGTATCTGAAAAAAGAAGTCTTACCAGAGATTAGTCTTGCGAAATATCTCCGTGAGGTTATATGTAAGTTTTCCTCGTGGCTATGTAATAATATTTCGTGTTTCATGGAAAAAGTCGATTTATTTCTGTGCCTGTTCATCCATAATACGTTTCGCAAGCCGTGAAATTACGGCCTGTCTCTATTTCACCGTTTCAAATTTACAGTCAGTTCTTTGTTTTTATGCTTCGTTTTTATCGCCCTGAAATAGCTTCGTACATTACGACGCTCACAAAAGAGAAAATATCCTTGTTACAGCTGTTAGCTGTGAATAGTATTGTTATTTAATTTTTGCTATGTTTCAAGGATCGTCGAGTACATCAATCGATATATGCATCATATGTTATATTAAATACATAGCGTGCATACATATATTACAAATACAACGAATTTCTTAGACAAAGGGTACCTGGAAAAATTGTTGATTAATTGATGTCATGATGTCTACAGTTGTACGTATACTAATCGTTCCAGTTGTTGGTTAAATATTACATTTTTATCGCGCGTTTGTTTAAATACAGCCTTCAACGGCTGGCGTTATGTTTGTACACGAAATACTTTAACAGGGCATTCTACTACAAAAACACGTTGACGCTTCGATCGTAGGGAGAGACTAAACATAATCGAATCTCGTTAATACGGATATCCGTTTATTTCTCTTTCAAATTACCATCGAATTTCGAATCGATATATCGCGCGGTTGCATCTTATTCCTTTTGCGATTGAAAAATTAACGGAACTCGATAATCCGGATTCGATCCGGTTCGATCTGGATTAACGAGATCTCGAGAGTAAATAATTATCCTTGTATACTTTTCGCAACAAAGGACAATCTTTACATTCGAAACCCGTTAATCTCAACTGCCCCCTCCCCCTCTCCCCTTCACGTTCACGTTTTCTTTTCAAAATTCACAAGATTTCACCGCGTGTGCCTTTTCTCCGTGATACGAGATGACATCATTACACATGAATCCCACGACGATTCGTACATTTCTATTGACTCGTTCCACTTTCCTCCGAACATGGTCCGGATCGCCTCACTTTTATCGATGATCTTCGGCTCGCGATCAAGACATACGCGGGACATCCTCATGGCCTTACGCGGTGTCAGACGTCGGTTGGTCTGATTGGTGAAATTGGTAAATGGCCCGCGTATACGAATTGTAAATAAAGACATTACGGCTGTGGTTCGTTCGAGGGGAATCGCGCAATGGGGACACGGTTCCACGATGCCTCGCCTTAATTGGCCCATAACCTTGTCACGTTGACCAACGCCACCAGCACACACGTTTTCCTTTGGTTCCCCTTCACGGCAATGTCACCCAAGATCCGAAAATCCTATTTCATTCTCTTGTTACCAAATTCGCAAGTCAAGCTGGCTTAGTTAATGCGGATCTCAATCGAGTAATCCTCGATATTAAGTACATAGGGTAGCGCGTGTGGAAGTATGGTGTTCAAGATTCGAAGAATACATGTAGGAGCTTAGCGAGCGGGAGATAAAACAAATCGTGACACATTGAAGTGTCAATTGAAACTCTCAATTGACTCGCTAAACACAAAAACAACATTCAAATGTTATCTGCAGCATTTATTATACGATATTAAGGATTAATCATAAGCCTGTAGGTAATTACAAAGATTTTTTACTTAAATAAGATAACTGTTCGTTCGGACTGCATTTCTACAAATACGAAGTAGATTACAGGCTAAAAAACCTCGCAATATTAACTTACATATAGTTCTTTATTTAGCACATTCTTGATTCTATATTTCGAACGATACTATCACGTGTAATCGCCATATTTCCAAATAACAAGAGAACGTCGAAGTTCAAGAAGTTCTCGAGAAGGTTGATCTGAAGAATTTACAGTTTCAAAGAATACCTTGATAAAAAAAGCAGCAAAGAGTAAAACTATCTATTCCTAGCATTTTTTCTATAATGATAATTATGCTCCTATCGTTACTGAGAAGTGTCGGAAATCTAAGGATAATCCACTTGTAAATCATCGTGTTCCCGTACGTGTCATCGTACGTGTTACGGATATATCGTGTAATTACCGTGGTGACCGGGGAATCCTAATGCCATCACTAGAAATGGAGAATGAACTTTTGTCATTGAGACGCGTTCCACGTACAGTCGTAAATACGTAACTCTTTTTTTTTTTTTTCTTTTAAATTACTGATCATGATCGTCGCTTAAAGAGATCAAGGTGATTCGTGAGCACGTAAATGATCAGGGAGGAGCCTTGAGAATTCTTGTGTAAATAAGGTAAAGGAAAACACGTATTATATATATGTAAATTGTCTGTCCACGCGTTTCCATTGTTGGAAATGGGATTTCCATGGTTTTAACGAGCCTGCGATTAAACTTGAGATCCTTGACACTTCGCTTCTCGTTGTCTGGAAGCGTAATCGAAGAACAACGTTTGTGACGCGACACGCTCGAAATTATGCTAATCGACCGATTTGTATGTTATTTTTGTCTCGTGATTCAGTGGCGCGTTTTACGTAATTTCTTGCGAAAATTAACCTTGTTCGTCGCGGTTCGTTATGCTCCCGTGAACGCCGCCCTGTGACTATGTTCACGCAGGAGGATCTCCCGATGTGATTTCGTTGCGCGGTCAGTCGCAGAAACGTGGTTACGCAATGAATGTTTGTAATACCGTGTCCGACAGCGTAGCGCATAAATCACATGCAATTCTCTCGCAATGTTTGTGCTTTCGATACTTTCTTGCGATAGAGCAGCGTGGAATATCTAAACAAGCTTGCTTGTTAGTGTTGACATGAATTGACGGGTGTACGGAGATGGTTACTTGTCCAGTAACCTTAAGAAATTTTAAGAAATCCTGCTGGTCTTTCTAATGTATTACAGTCGTAGAAAGAAAAATCCGATTCGCCGTTTCAGAGTTATATATCTGGTTATTATAAAATTTCCACGATATCCGTTGGAATGTTTTAGAAATTCTTAGATTCTAGACTTGTGAATGTAAAATGGTATAGTAATTAGAAAAATACACGAACATCCACTGACAATGTTTTTTACGTTTCGAAAGAATTCGTTGATACCATTATTGTAATAGATACAAGAAAACCACTGCGTTATTCCACCCTTTTGTTTATGTTGATTTTATCTCGTGTATCTCTCTTGTCTTTACTACATTGCAATAGTGGTTTCAATCGCTACAAACACCTCGATCCGAAGTTGAACGCTTCTAGATTCTGGCAAATGTATGTACATACATATGTATTTTTTTTGTATAAGACTAGTCGCGTAGTTTAATAAGCTCAGTCTGGTCTCAAGTGGTTCGTTTCGCAATCTGCGGAACAATCGTCGCAACCTTCTGTTCTTACACGATTTAAGTGACATCGCAATCAGTGTCTCTCGTTTATGTATATGCACGTAGTACAGAAATGAAATGATATTTTTGTTCAAAATACTCGTGTTAACGTCTGCCGGTATCGTAATGGTATAAAAAGGAAGGAAAACAATTGAAAATTGTTTTGAACCCAAAAACATGGGTTCAATAAGTGATAGCTGCGTGGCTTCCGTATCTCGAAATGTTAATCCAGTTACCGTAGCATAATCAGCAATTGGTTTTATCGGATTTCATTTTCACATAACAATACTGCATTATCATCGAACATAATTGTTTGTTTTACGCTATATTGTCATCATCATCGGTTACCATTTCGTACGAAATTCTTTTCGTTTCAAGTATTTCGAGAAAAGTAAGATTAACGTAAAATCAAACATAATCGAAAATCGATTCCTCACGATGTCACGAGTTTGCTTGAACGATTCAGAATTATCCTTATTATATAATTATGATTTTTTTTAAATGAAAAACACAGTACATAGTTATGTGGTGGAGAATGTCCTTGAAAGCTACTGAGAAGAGGGAAAACCTGCGGGTACATAACAGTTATAAAAAATATTTTTGTATTATGTTCCTTCTTACGATAAAAATAGCGGTTAAAAATTCGAAGAGCAGAAATTAGAAACGAAATTTTTTTTCAGGCAAGGAACAAACGATCGGAATTGAGTGAGGGGGGCTCGGCGAAATGGCGAGCCAACTATGGAAGGCGCTGACCCGAAGACGGATCGAAGAGAATCAGGAGAGCAAAGGCGAGCTTGCTCGTGTTTTAGGCTTGTTTGATCTCACGGCACTCGGCGTTGGTTCGACCCTCGGTCTCGGCGTTTATGTCCTCGCTGGCAGCATCGCCAAAGACACAGCCGGCCCAGCTGTCTGCATCTCCTTCCTGATTGCTGCGATAGCTTCCGCATTTGCTGGTAAATTAAGGATAATATTCACGCCAGCTGTCCGGATATGAACAATTTGTCCTTATCAAAAGATATTTCAGGAGACAGCTATGATTTCGCGTTAATAATTGAAGGGTGCAGAGGAAGAACCAAAAAACGTTGCAGAAGAAAAACAATCAATTTTGAAACACTAAAAATTAGATACTTTTGCCCTTGTGAAAATATTATTTTAAACGTTGGTTTAACGCTTGCTATTTTGTGAAATTACATTGTACCGAGTGTTCGGTTACTGTACAACTACGAAAGGAAGGGGGTGATTCTACGTAAAAAAAATTAATTGAAAATAGAGAATAAAATTTTTTCATAAGAAGCTTAGTTTTTGAAAAAGGGTGAAATTTGAAGATTCTACTTTTATATTGATAAACAGCGGTTATGTGATATTTCGCAAAGAAATACTCTATGCAGAAGATTTCTATTGATTTACGTGTATTTTGAAAAAATGATTATTTGTATGTGTAGGAATGTGTTACGCAGAATTCGCCTCGAGAGTCCCCAAGGCAGGATCGGCATACGTTTATAGCTACGTGACAGTGGGAGAATTCGTTGCCTTTATCATAGGGTGGAATTTAATGTTGGAGTATATAATAGGTGTGCAAATAAAGCCTTCTTTCTGCTCACTTTGTACGTCTACAGAAGTTGGTCTTAAAGGATTATTTATTATTTTTAAGAGAAACATTAACATTATCAACGCGTATTAAACTGTTCTTTTATTTGTAACAAAATAAAAGGAAAATAAGATATTTGTTAAAATAGAAATATTGGCAGAATTACACGAGTCATTTTATATCCGTTTTATTGCTAAAAGATAAGTTAAATACTGTTACTTAAAGTAAGAATTATTTTCTGATAAGGTACAGCAAGCGTCGCCCGAGGACTTAGCAATTACTTGGACGCATTAATAGGAAACGTGATAAGCAAGACATTGTACGCTGCGATGCCTATCCGCGTCCTATTTTTATCAGAGTACCCAGACTTCTTCGCATTTGGTGTAGTACTACTTCTTATAATCCTGTTGAGCATAGGAGTAAAGGAATCTTCGATGTTGAATAATATATTCACCGTAGTGAATTTGACTACCATTTTAATCATTATAGTGGCAGGATCCATCAAAGGTACCGGGTGTTCGATAGTTATCTTTTTATTTTTAAAATTGAGTAAAAATTTTTTTAAATTTTCTAAAAATAAAGTACAGTGGAAACTGTTTCTTCTTCTTATTCATTCAATTACTTTTTATCTATCAGCTGATCCAGCAAATTGGAGAATATCAGCAGAGCAAATACCAGAATCAGTGACACATGCAGGATCAGGAGGATTCATGCCTTTTGGTATAAACGGAGTGATGGCGGGGGCGGCAAGATGTTTTTACGGTTTCGTTGGATTCGACGCTGTGGCAACCACCGGTGAAGAAGCTAAGAATCCTCAACGCAATATACCCATAGCCATTGTTGTTTCCTTAGTTATAATCTTAATGGCTTATTTTAGTATCTCTACCGTGCTAACTATGATGTGGCCTTACTACGATCAAGTACACTTACATATTTCAACGTTTTCTCACTTATCGCGTAGTTAAAAGCACTAATAGTAGACGTGTTATCTGTGTAGAATGCGGATGCACCATTTCCATATGTCTTCGAACAAATTGGATGGCCTACCATTAAATGGATTGTTAACATTGGTGCAGCATTTGCATTATGTACAAGTATGCTCGGTGCTATGTTCCCCTTACCACGGATACTGTACGCCATGGGTAGCGATGGAGTAATTTTTAAACGACTTGCAAGTATACATCCGAAAACGATGACGCCTATCTTTGGAACAGTGGTCTCTGGTTTACTCACAGGAATTATGACACTGCTTTTTAATCTTCAACAATTAATTGAAATGATGTCCATAGGGACATTATTAGCGTACACGATAGTGGCAATATCTGTATTAATATTAAGGTAAGAATGTAACTAACATTCAGTAACAACAGTAATGTAACATTCAGGTATATTTAATTGTTAAACATATTGAATACAAGATATTTATTATGTTGTGTTGTTTAGGTATCAAGGGAAGGAATATACATCGAATATGCAGTCTGTAACAACAATGAGTGGTTATGAATTAACACCACTCAAAATCTTAAAACAAATACTCAATTTGCAAAATCAAAAAGAAATAACTGAGATGTCTAACAAAGTTGCAAATTATAGTATTGCAATTTTGTGTAAATATTAGCTAAAATTAATTTACAAATTTTAACAGCACCAACAAAATTGCTTTTATACATCTGTTATTATTATTACAGGTATTGTTACGTTCGTTATTGCGCTTTTCGTTAATTATGTGGGTGCCGGAGCATTTGGCAACAATGTAATAGAATCTGTGATACTAATCCTACTTGTAAACATATTATTATTAAATATAATTGTTATCGCAAGGCAACCTGTCCAAAAGATTGATCTAGCATTTAAGGTGGATATCAGAAAAATTAAATTTAAAAAATTAGAGAAACCAGATATTTAATGTCACGTGTAATCATCTCTGTTATTTACAGGTGCCATTAGTGCCATTTCTTCCATGTTGCAGTATTTTCATAAACTTATATTTGATGTTGCAACTAGATGGTTTTACCTGGATCAGATTTTCTGTTTGGATGCTCATAGGTACATATAAAATATTAATAGTGTTTAAAAGAAGAAAACAAAACATTACAGATCTCATATTTGTATTTTACATAGGTTTCGCAATTTATTTCCTTTACGGGATATCTCATAGTGAACAAGGGAAAAGAGATAAAGTGGAAGCTGAAATGATAAAACGAAAGTATGCAGATCAAGTTAGAATCGTAACGAAATTCTAAAAATGATCTTACAAAATGTGATATTTTCGGTATTAACTTGTAAAACCTCTGCTCAGAAAAAGGAATCAGGTGTTACAACATATGACCACAATTTTAAAATGCAAATAATACATCCATGGCAAATCATTGCGTGATATTTACAAAATATAAAGCATTAGGAAAAGGATATTAACTTTTTACTGTATTGAATATTTTTTATATTGTTATTACAAAGCAAAATAGTTCTTATCATGAAATTTTGAAATACCAATATATATTAGGCGTTTTAAATATGAGGACATATACAGGCATAAGCTGTTGCACATTATAAGGTCAATGCATTAAATATTCTACACGTACACATAATATAATTCCATCAAGAAAATCTGACCTATTGTGTAGTCATATATAAGATTATGTAAAAACTTTTGTTCCTTTTTATATTTATATATTATAATGTGCCGATATAATGTACATATTACATAAAAAATTTTACCATGTTTATTACTTGTTTAAGTGCTGGTTGCGCTGATGAAATACAATTGTTTTATATTAATTATTGTGCATTTATTTAAAGAATACTTTGGAACTGTTTTGGTTCATAGAATACCATCACAAAATATACAGATACAGATATGTTTAACCAAAAATTTCAGCAATATCGTTTTACAAACATTGTCGAATTGTTATTTTAAAGAAATCAAATTTATTGACGATATAATTTAAATAAATGTCAGAAGTTATAATACATATCAATGAAATGTACATTAGCATAGACAATTACATGTACAATTGTTGCTTAATTGCAGAGCTTAATATTAACAATTCACAGAAAACAGGGTTTAACATTCACGAAAAAACAGATTTATACTTTTCGCAATATTCAAATATTAAAGATTCGTATATTTCAAAAAAATTTGCGGTATATAACTAGTAGTTTTGGAATTTTTCTCACTTTTTAAAACCAATTTGCACATGTAATAAACGCTAACGTAAAATTGTTGCGTTAGAGGCACTACATAAAATACATTATAGAGAAACACTTAATGCATCATTTTTTAACAAAATCATTAGGCATTTCTTTGAATAAAGGAAAAATTCATTAATTCATGATTCTTTTTTAAATATGTAGCTTTGGTACTTTTTTTGTAGGAGGTGAAATATGTAATACCTAAGAAGTATTAAAATAAAAATTTCAACTCCTTGAATATTTGCATTAACAGTCTCACTTTTACTGTCTTGTTTTTGTTACTCTGTAATAATTAAAATAATTTATACCTAGGCAAGGCATCTGGTACAATTCAGTTAAGTTCTAACAGTACTATGTCAAAAATAAAATTAACATCCTTTGTATTTTTCTACTATTATGTCATTATGAACGATTTGATAGTCACTTAAACGCATACATTTGGAATGTTTCATTGATTGTTTTAATACAAAATTTCATGGCAAAACTATATGAATCAAGTTTATTCGTATATTTTACGGATAAACTTATTAATATCATTATATTTTTTGTATGCATCCACATCTACTTTTCTTATCCGATGAAAGTAACAGGAGGCAAGTAAAATAATACACCTCAAGAATAATCTAATTGATTACACGTTCGATCAGTATTATTTTTTGTACGTTCTAGATAAAATAACACGTCTTTCATATGTTAAATATATCGTACTTATGTCAAGCTTGTACCATTAAATTGAGTCAATTGCAAAAGCTAAGCCATATTCATATGTGTAAAACGTATATATCTTATACGCACATGCATTGACTTTTTTTTCATTTGTGAAAAATATATGGAAATCAAAAGTTGGAGTATTGTATCCCTAGATAGTAACGAAATAATACTCTGTATATCTAATTAGAAGAATCTTCATTGATCTAAAAATCAATTGTTTATTTCGTTTTATTTACAAGTCCTCCCACACTTATATACTGCCAATTTGCCTGTTGAAGATAATTATAACCTTAGATATGATTGAACATTTTAATAATATATAACTTAATTTGTAGAGCAATCAACTTACCCCTATACCGGTTGCCCAACTAGTTCCAGCTGGATTCTCGTCGGTGATACCTATTCTACGGCAAAGTATACCAGCTCCAGAAACTGCCCATACTTGACCTTGTTCTCTTGCGACAGCAACATGTCGAAAGCCTTGCTTCGCGTTTAGAACAGTCATGTCTAAAATATAAAAAGAAGATTACATACTGAATGAGAATAAATTACTTTATATGTAAAATGAGAATAATATGAAAGAAGAAACTAGAAAAACTCGAAGTCATTTAAAAAAAATTGTGAACTTACAATATATTCATAATCATTTTTTATTTACTGCAAAATTCGTTTGACCTATACTAAACAATTACAAATCTATTTAAATCACAATCATAGACCTAAAATATACCTATGTAACAGGGATCAGAGAGTGTATCTAAATATGATGTGCTGTCTATATCAGCGTTTCCCAACGCGGTTTTTTTTTTCGAGGACAATTTGTAGACTTTTCCAAGAAATGCAGCCTTTGGGGATTTCATCCTATATTTTTCTGGAATTATTGCAGACCAAATTAGGTGGATTTTCAACAAAAGTGACAAGAAGTATCACTTTCTAGTTTTAATCGTCATATAACATGTATGAAACCTAGCGTAAATTGTAAAGACACTGCAAAAGATTTTAGTAAAATGTTTGATAATAAATGATTAAGCTAGCCAAGTAGACTTAAGGAAATCACTAAGGTCATTCTTGGAAACTACAGGGTTGGGAAACGCTGGTCCATTCAGTATGCAAATTAAAACAATACCTATGTGTATAGGATCGTTTGGCATCACAGGAAGCGTTTGCCAGTGAGTTCCTTCTGGAAAAACATTCACCTGCACTTCCCGGCGTACAAATAATCTACCTAATGTATCTAAAGCCCACACTACATCTTTTCCAAAAGAGATTTGTTTCAAGTGGGCACCTGATGGTGGTTCAACATTGTGCCATTGTATTCCTGAACAATCAAGTACTAATTAGAAGAAATTTTAACAACAATAAAAATTTATATATTACGCTATTTATACCTGTAGGCTTTGAAGCAGTAATACCTAACCTCCAGTAAGAAGAACCATTCTTTCCAACAGCCCAAACTTGTCCAGCTGGACCACATGAAATACCTACTAAAGCTTGATCACTGGGTATATGTTCCCATGAAACTCCCTATAAATTGACAGTCAATAATTTTACCCTGCAGCTCAAGCAAGTATTTACATAACGATATTATGAAAGTGTTCTATGCATACCATTGGGGATGACTCTGAAACACCTCTCCTAAACAAAGCTTCGCCATTAGAAGCTACTGCCCATATATATACAGGAGCATCTGTACCAGGTTTACCACTTGCCTATCAGTAATAATAATACATAATCATTCATCTATATTTATTTTTAATTATGCATTTTAAAGGTCTCTTACATATAAAGAAACATCAATCAATTTTGTGTTTCCTAACTCCTGCCAAGGTCCACTAGATGTTAATTGGCATCTTCGAAACCATCTTCTTCTTCTGACGTAATCAGTAAACTGTTTTTTGCCATGGTACTGAGAAGGGAAATCTGTAGCATATTGCCAACCATCTCTGTCAACACCACCGGGTGTATGAAAATCCACTATCCAATCTGACACCTATTATAAAGTAAAATATTTCAAGATACAGTTTTAATAAGATGAATAATTTTCTTAACACTCAAAGCATATTTTATGGTATTATAGTATTTTCCATATATATTCTTACCCAGTGCCAGTGCATCGACAACAATTTAGTGTGTTCTCGAGTACGTTTATGTCGTCCGGTTGCATCACTCCACATGTAACGATCCGTTGGAAGACCATGAGAAGTGTATCCAGTTACTGGGTTCCAACGCTGATTTTCATAAACATAATAATTGTGAATGTCTACCATAGTATTTATTCCCGTATTGCTATCTAATCCTATGGAAAATAATGTGTAACATTTATTCATAATTTTATCTATGAAATCAATATTTTCTTTCAAATGCAAAGTTGTTTATTTTAAAATGCTCAACCTTTTAAAAATAAGCCACCCCAACCACCAGTATATACCCATGCTGTACTATCGTATCCTATTCCCCAAGTTACACCAACGGAACACGTTTCTACTTTTTTCAAATGACCGCCCATTTGTCTCCAAAACAATGTTATTGGATCAATGATAACCTATATAAAATGTTGTGTTATAATCAAATGATATAAAACTAATATCAGCAGTAGTATTGAAGTTATTACATACAGATGTAGATTTGTAAAATACGCTGCACAATGTCATCAGTCCCTTGATGCGTAAATGAGTAATACTTTGTGGTAATATTCGGTGGCTATAAAAAGTAAATTCCTTATCATCAATAAAGATTCTATATCCTCGTGAATCACAAACAATTTCTAATGTGAAATCAGAGCCAGCTTTTAACGGGCTACCTCCGTTTCTTTCTTCATCACCCCATTGTCCATGTGTATATGTGTTTCGTACAATTATGTTTTCCTTAAGTCTCGGATTAAAGTGTAACGCAACATCATGACTTTCCATTACGGTCTTCTGCTTCAGAGACATTGTTGTATAGCAGACAAGATTGAAGTGTAACCTAATAATCGTAAAAAATATAGTAATATAAAAAAAATATTTTAAGTATAATCTCAAATTATTGCCTTTCTGTACATAACCATCATTATCGAATTGAGTTTCCTGTACACAAATTAGATATAAAACGCTAATGTCAAAATTTATCACATAATACATTTTTTGTAAGATATTTTAACTTACTTCTATAGCAGCAGGGTCGTATACATACACGTCTCCTAACGCAGTAGTAGCCCAAATTGAATTGGGTCCTGGTCTGCCATAAACATTATTCATTTGGCAAGAAACTAAAAATATAAAAAAAAGTATTTAACTTATAACTTTATTGTTGTATACACTAACATAAACGTATTAACACACCTGATGTTAAATGCCCTAACCAGTCTTCCATTTCACTGTCAGTAGTAAACTGTAATCTATGAACTTTAGAACGAGATAATCGAGGTGTATGAATCGCTATTCGCGGATTACCTGGTTCGCTACAGCATACCACACACATGATCTCAGATACAGGAAACTGCATCTGAAAAGAACACTTATTAGCAACTGACAAATTTTTCGAAAAAATTGTTTTTGTATTCGTTATGATATTTACAATTGTTGTTGCTCCATCCGAATTTAAAATAGTTACTATTCCAGAATCTAAAGAACCACTATCACTGCTTATCCATTCTAATTCAATAACACAATCTTCATATGAAGCACTACCTTTAACTTTGCATTTTGCATCGCCATTTTTAACCCATGACGATCTGCAATAAACTATCATAAACACAAACATCTTCAACATTAATTTTATATATTTATCAAACACTCACTTTTCAACCACTTTCTCGTATATTTCTGGGTCATGTTTCACTGTTTCTAATCTTTTTTTCAACTCTTCTAAAATATACATTCTCCAGACCTCTGCTATATTCCCATGACTTGCATTATTAGTATCTGCAATCCTATAAATTTAAAGCAAAAATATAAGTAATTACATTTTGTTATAAAACAATTTAATAGTTAACAACACCGACTATACCATTTTGGAGGATTACATGGGTCGACAAAACATGCTCCAGCTTCTACTTTGTACCAGGAGGCATCACATTCAGCCCAATACATTGCACCAGAGCTTTCATCTTCCCCATAGACACCAGAATCACTAGTCAAGTCAGGATCAAATATACTTCCATCTGTTTCTGGGTGAGCTTCAACACCCACCATAGAGCCAACTGAATGGACAGGACTCCATGCAGCTGGGTTGATCTGTATTATTTTTATTTTAAACTTTAGTAGTAGCTGAAAAGATTTATGAATAAAAACTATATACAATTAAATTTTCTATTAACCTTGACAGTACTACCCATCCCTTTTCCAGAAACTACTATAGATTCTCCAGTTTTTGTGAGTGATTCATTTGATATAGTTATATTTGCAACACTAGCTTCGGTTAGATCGCCCATATCTAACGAATTCGCAGCTCTGTAATTTTATTCATCAACAAACACTGCAATTATTTACAGAAAAAGTGTATGAAGCAAATTTACCTTTTTTTGCCTTCATTTAGATATATGTCTTGAAAGGATGTTTGTTGTGGATTTTTAGCAGAAGTACCATCATTAACACGTTGCCATAATTTTAAGGATGTTGGTGTTGGTGCAGAACGTGACTGCTCTTCCCATTCTCTGATTAATGTGGTACCTTCACTAGTACTATGTGGTCGATTCTGCAAGTCATGATTATATTTACATTAATGAACAAAATGAAACTAGTTGTAGAATTTAAAACTTGTGTAAGATACATACCAATGATCCCCAACTTTGATGTCTTTGTTGCTGGGGAGTACCACACATACTATGCCTATTGCTTGATGATAAACTAGCGTTACTGCTTGCTCGACTAAGCTGAAGAGGCGCATTTATTAATCTCCACTTTTTACCCGTTAATTCTGATCGCGTAATACCATTGCGATAATACAAACATCTATCCTCATGACCGATAGCCCAAACCTAGAAAAATATTAAATAAATAAGCATATGTAGAAAAAACTTATCAAAAATAAATATTTTTTTGTAATAAATTAAATTACTTGATCATTGGGAGCAACGGATACCAGTGACATTTTGCTTAACATTTCTACCCATCCAGTGCCAGCAGCCATTTGTTCACAAACTCCACTCATTTCACCTTTAATACCTTTTCTAAACCACACGCCTCCATCCTGTGTTACAGCCCATACAGCATCTGTACCTACACTAACTTGTACTAATTTTAAATCTTTTTGTGGAGGATCAATTTCTGCCCAATCATCTCCTATAAAATAATGTTATGCTGGTTAGTATGTTAGTAGACCTTTGGTAAAAGTCTATATAAGGTAATAATATAACAATATTATGTAAACTACATACCCATTGGATTTTCTCTAGTAACACCTGTGCGTATTAGTGCCTTACCAGTCATTAATATAGCCCACACAAGACCAGTCACTCCAACATTAATTTGACATACCTCATATCCACTTGGTAATTTTATAGCACTCCATCTTTGTCCTTCAGGACAAGTTGTGCTAGTTGCAACACGAAACATCACCTGTGTATTACAATTTTTTATAAATGTAGGATTTATAATATAGAGTTTGCAATAAATTGATATAAATATTACAATTATTGCAGTAATCAGAACTATAAGTTAGAAAATTTTGCTGCTGTAAATTGTTTAATAATTTGTTAAAATGATTCAAAAATTTTTTTAAATGTTATACCCTCCCATGAGCAGTTACTGCCCAGACTACTAGGCTTCCAGGATTACCTCCAGGTATTTGATTTCCACCCACAGATATGTCAATAAATGGTTCCTAAAAATATGTTGCATTGAGTCTTGTTGTATGATGCCCCAATATTATCATAATATATAAAACTTAAAACGTTTACCTTAGTTGCATCTTTATGAAGAGGTGCAATGGCACACCATGAATTCATGGCACTATATCTTCTATACCGAACCCACTTCCTTCTTCTGACACAGGATTTCCATTGTTTCTTTGTGGTATATGTAGCTGGAAAATCAACTGCATAGGTCCATCCCTACCAAAATATCAGATTCTCTGTGATCATAACACTTTGTTTCGTTGTTGACAACTGACAACAAATCTACATATAAACAGAAAGTTGTAAGAAATATAACAACAAAGAAAAAACTGAAAAGTGAAACAATCCGTTATTATCTCATTGATAACTACAATGTTAATATACAGATTAAAATTTATCATATTTTAATGCATATTACTATTTATAAAATTAATATAGTTGTTGTTATAGATAAAGAAATTCAAAAATACAAAATAACAAAAAATTAAATTTAAAATAAATGAAAGTTACATAGAATAAGGTGCACTATATGTATAGGAGTAAAGTCAGCATTATTATTTAAAAGATTCAATCATATTTACATCATGATCTAGAGGTTGACCATCTAGTGTAGTTTCTATTTGCCAATCACCTTCCCACTGCCAAGCCATAGATGGTAATTTTACTTTATCTCTACTGCGATCAACAGACCCATCTTGATTAGAAAAGTTATACCTGTCTGTAGGTAATAATCTTCCACTAAATCCTTCTAAAGGGAGCCAACGCTGAAAACATTATATACCATCAAAATCTGTATGCAATTTACATGAATCCATGTACATTAGATAATTATAAGTGTATAATAATATAATCAGCATACTTCATTTTCATATATTTCTTCTTTGATTCTTATAGGTACATCTAAACCATGTACATGTACATAGACTTGACGATCACCACCTATAGCCCACATAAAATGTGGTACTGCTGATAATTGTTTGAATTCAAGACCTAAGTACATGAATTCTCTCCACATATTCCCAGATGTTGACAATCCAAATACACGCCCCTCATTATTTATAGCATATAAGTATGAACTTGGCATTTTAATGTTTTAATAACAAAACACTCTAATTCACCTACAACAGTATTTATAGAGTTACTAGTAGAATTAAATTTCTGACATATGATATCATTAGATTGCTATGCAAGTGAATGCTGATAACGCTAATCTTCACACAAAAATGACTTTATATCCATGTTAGTAATATATAAATACATAAAACACTATCATATGGATAATACCTTTTTATGTTAAAAAAAAGGAGATTATCTTTGCTGTACTGGTGGTAATATTAGATAACAGACAGCTTCCATTGCATAAATGTCATAATATTAAATAATAATCGAAAAAAAATTATTTTAGTTATATACAGTATTTCTATTTTACATTTTACACTACCAATATTATATTTCGTACAATAGAAATGAAATAATAATAACGATCAAACTACGTTTTAACACGAATGTTTACAATATATAGATTGTTAATTGAAAAATAAAGGACATATTTAGGAATGACACAAAATCACCCGTCATTTATGCCGTTACGGCCTATGTGCGCAAGTAAAGATGTCGATAAATGTATTTTTCACGGGATTTCACTTTTAAAAATTAATATATCAATAAGCATAATTCTTATTTATAATAACCATTTATAAATCGTAATAACATAATTATGCATAATATACATGATATAACATCCTGTTTTATTCATTTTTACTTATTTAACATGTCTTTATAATAGGTTTAGTAACACTGCTTACCAAACCTTGCCCTTATGATACTTTTTTGAAGCGTAATTAATTATTTAAATTGTATATCTAGCATTTCACTAAAGCTCTTCATCATCTCTAGTTTTAGTAGTAATTCTAATAATTTAAATTATAAAATATAAATTGTGTTCTTGGATCTATTTACTGATCATGTAAAAATATAGCTCATTCTTATCGACACAACCTTTCTACTTTATCACTTAAAATCTCTGTAGTCACAAACGTGGCACAAATGAGGTACAGAATAGACCTATCACCCAATGCATTGTTTTGTCCCACGTCACGTTTGTTTTGCCGGACAATATTGTATATTATTTATTTTACAATTATTTGACACTTGTCGACTTTACCATCTTTGATAGTTGGATTGTATGTAATTCTTAAACTCGCCACTGCATATCGTAGAGGGCATAACAAAACCTCTGATTTTTTATACTATTTTGTACCTCGTCTGTGGCAAAACATAAAAAAAATTAAACAAAGTATTAACAAAACTCTCAAATTTATGAATAAATGTCTTGATTTTAGAGAATAATCAAATATAGTTAAATAGATACAGAGTTCTGCATTATTACTTCTATACTGCAAGCCACCTTATTAGTTTCCATGAAGATTTTTGCGATAGAAGCTTTAAGCATATTCAGGAAAGTAACAACGAAGATATGCTATACTATTGCAAATAAGGCCTAATAAAGGATTCTTTTCCACGTGCAACTAACGCTGGATTGAAATACGAGTTAAAATACCGCATCTGTAAGTTTTATAGATTATTAATATCGTTTTATTTATTCGATTTTGTTTATATTACATGTAATAACAACCTGTGTTTATTTAAGATCAGAGTGTTACAGAAAATGGTTGTATTTACCTGTAACAACTGTGGCGATACAATACAAAAGCCGAAAGTTGCGAAACACTATGAATTTCATTGCCGTACCGCTCAGTTTTTAACGTGTGTTGATTGTTTCAAAGATTTCCGGTAAGTATTGCTAAATATAGAATAGAAGTAGTATGTTCATACATTGGTATGAATTTCTAATTATGTTCAGGGGTGAGGAATATATAGCACACACAAAATGTGTAACGGAAGCTGAAAGATATGGTGGAAAGGATTATGTTCCAAAAGCTAATATAAACAAGGGTGAAAAGAAGCAACAGGAATGGCTCAATATAGTAAATAACGTATTAAACAGTCAAACAAATTTATCAAAATCAGAGAGAACCTTTTTAAATGCTTTGTCAAGACATGAAAATATTCCACGAAAGAGAACTAAATTTTTAAACTTTGTACAAAGTGCTCTGGGTCCAAGAGTAAATCAAGCAGTAGTTGAATGTGTTTGGAATAAAATGGAAGCAGCTTATAAAAACACTCAAAATACTAATACAAAACAGGAGCAGCAAAATGGTAAGTTTTTAATATTTAATTAATTATAATTATCACTTTTAAAACATTCTATATTTGGTATATAAATAGGTAAAATAAATAAGGAGATAAATGACAAAGAAGATATAAGTACACATCATGAAAGTAATGTTATTGAAAATCAAAATAATGAAAATATATGTAGAGAAAATAAGAATGAAAGTCATGAAAATAAATGCAATGAATTAAATGGGACATGTAACATTGCTGATAATGGTAACATTAACAAGGTTAAGAAAAAGAAATCAACAAAGAGATCAGTATCTGAAACGGTGCAAGAACAATCTGAAGAACCTGTGGAGAAGAAAAGGAATCTTGTTCCAGCAGTTACAGATGAACCAGTTACCAAGAAGAAAAATAAAAAAGGTGCTGCTACAGAAGAACCAGTTCCTACAGTAAAAAGTGAAGATCCTATACTTTCTGAGTCACTTGTTGGTCAATCTGATAGTACTATAGATAAATCAAACTTTAATTGGGGAGATACTATTCTAGACATAGTAAAAAGTAAAGGAGAAATTTCCTTAAAAAAATTACAGAAAAAAGTAATTTCACAGTATATGAACTTCAGTTCAAATGCTGTAACGCATGAAAAAGCATCTAGTAAATTTAATAAAAAACTGAAAAAAGTATCAGGAATAATAGTTTCTGATGAAAAAGTAAAATTAGCTTAATTCGACTAATCCTTTTATATAATTTTATGATACTTCAAAGAAAGTTCTATGAAATCACTGACTGTTATTTATAACATTAGCATACATTACTATTGTATCAAAAAAGGATTTTTTTATATCATCCACAAAAGTAGAACTTAGAATAGTATTAAATAAAACATGTTGTAGACAAAAATTTATTATTTTCTTTTCTTAACAAAATGAATAGATAAAAATTGTTCACAGTATCACAGAATTTATCTAAAATGAATCATTTATCAATGAACATCTATTAAATATAAAATGAAACTACAACAATAAATAGTACAAGAGTAATTGTGTATAATATAAAATTGTTGTATAGAACATTGTTGTTTAGTTTAAAACACTCCAGAACAAGATTGGATATGGAACTTGTAAATAAAAAGTTTTAAACTATTTGCTTTGTTAAATTGTGTTCTGGTAACAAGTTTTTAGAATATTTATGTCCTTTACAGAAGGATTTCCTTGGTACTTTACTAGGAAGAATGACATTGAAACACATGATTTGATAGTCCATAATAAAATTTAGCACTTGTATTAAATGTTTGAAAATTTGTCTAAATACCAAGCATGATTACTCATGGTAGCTAAAAGACCCCATGTAAGTACTTTGGAATCAGTAGGGCCAAAGCTTATTAATTGTTGGTCAAACAATTGTGTAACTGTACCACCAAGAGCAGTAAGAATTGCAGTGCCTGCACAAATGTCCCACTTTTTTATTGCAGTCATATGAACATATGCAGTTACATTTCCACTTACAACTTCTAAAAATTTGTAACCTAAATATATAGAACATAATAGATTTACTCATTTATGACAGAAAATAAGTTAAAATATAAAGTCAATGAAATTACCTGCTCCAGCTGCAGAAACAATTTTAACATCTTTACCAAATGCAATCTTGGTAACATTATTAATTTGACCAGCATGTGATTGTGATACAATCAATATTGGTGCATTCTCATCTTCCAACTAATATTAATAAGATGACTTATTATATATATTTTTAATCTTTTTTTATGTATGTTACCTTATGTAGCACTTGCAAATTTCTTGAAATTGCATGATTAGTCCATGTCCAAAACAAGCTAGAATTTTGCTTTGTTTCAAATGGTTTATATATTACACCTATTACAGGTTTTCCTTTAACAGCAACACAAACCATAGTTGTAACATATTGCAACAAATTCTCTGGAATGAAAAATATATGTAAATGATTATAATAATGTATAAAAATTAATCAAGAATAATGAGTTTATGAGAACATAAAATAAAAACACCTGTAAATTCTTTTGTTGCATCAAGAGGATCAATCCAAACTGTAATGTCACTTGTATTTATAATTTCATCTTTAATGTCATAATCATTTAAGTTATTAATTGAGTCCTTTATATTTGACACTGCAACTTTATCACAATCTTTTGATGTTTCTTCAGATATTACTGTTATACTTGGGAATGCTTCTAGTAAAGAGTGATACATTGCACAGTGTGATCTATAGTCTGCTTCTGTTACTGGATCATTGATGCCTTTTAAATAAAAAAAATAATAGTTTCATATATTTTTAATTTTGTAATGTGTAGAGTTTTTGAATAGATATATAAGATCTTGTTTAAAACGTGTAATCTACATAATATATGGTTCTAATAATACAAATTAACTTATTACCTTCTTTTGTTTTTCCTTTACTCTCTATTTCAAATTTAGCTTGATTATGAACTGTTCTAACTTCTAACCCACCAATTTCGGCTGATCTTATAGCAGCAGCAAGAAGTAATTTTAAAGAAATATTTTTCTCCCGTATATTTGTATATAAGGTCCCATTCGTGTACAAGTAGAACACACTTAATAATATTACAATACCACAAAAAACAGTTCTCCTCGTGCGAATACTCATCCTGATATGCATGACAAAATTCTTCCTTAAATTAATTTAACGTATACACGTGACTTTGACTTATTTTATATACCGAGTCATTTTAATTGTTTGGTACGTGGCCATTTTTAATTTATTTGAATTTTCCAATAACATTGAACCTTTCTACTTTATATACACGTCTGATATTGAACCTGGAAGTCACGGACCATTTCTATTTTTTTTTAAATTTTAATATTTTATTACATATATCGTACATGACGATGGAACATTTTTTTGGAATTATTATTATAATAAACTATTACAAGTGAGACATTATGAAAGTGGTTCCTTTTCTTAAATAGATATTGCGATCAATGGATGAATAGGTTAGGTAAGTTTATGTTAGGTTAGTTAATATAACTATGTTGTGTACCTAACTTAACCTGAAAACTTATAATTTACGAATGTTCAAATGTGACTTACGAATTTGTTTTGTTCAACCATGGATAAATTAACAAAAAATTAAATTCATAACACATGTGTTACTAAATCAGATAATTTATTTTAAAATGTATTGTACATTTACTTATTACATATAAACATTTATATCATATATGTTATTTTTAACGTCGGCTAGATATAGCATCACATGAAATTAAAATAACGCTACTTGAATTTCATTCAGGTCTCTGTGTAATTGAATGTGCATTTCTAACAATATTAATAACACATCAACATTTCTTTTCATATTATAATTCTATAAATGGATGTATTTTATTGATCGAAAATGGTACATGTCAGGATTCTAATGACATTATGTGCAACTTACTATATTTCAATTTAAAAAATAGTTAAATGGCATTCTGAGTGCCTTCAAACGATTATATAAAACTAAGTAATATTACACATTTGGATTGTGTATTTATGCTTATGATTAATTTGGATTGCACAGAAATAATTGCTTACCTTTTACTTAAATTGATAATACAGTGAAAGATGAATGTTAAATAAGCAGGATAACAAGTGTGATAACATTGTATATTTTCAGAGACACTATTAATAATGATTACTGCAATATATTAATTTGATACCATTTTACAGTGCACTTTCTACACAAATAACGAAACATTTTCATTAAATTAGTATCATATGTGCACTTTTCTTTACTGCTTTTGCATTTTGTAACTTATGCTTTTCCTATTTAACTGTGGGATAATATGTATCATTTGTAATAATATCATAATAATTTATAACTGGATAACTCACGCATTTTATATCGCCTCTTTATTGTAATAATAAGTAATATGCAGCCTTTGCTTTTTTTCTAACATATGCATCTAATTCTTTAAATATGTGATAAAGATATTTCAGCAATTTCATCTATGAAATTTTAATAATTACTTTAAGATACAAGAAATGTCATTCCACTTGGTCCAGCAATAACTGCACATTGACAAGTTGTAAATGATTTTTGCAGTTGCTGTTACACATCGTCATCTGTTTAAACAGAGCAAAGAATATTACATAATTTGTTTTCCTATAAATTATTCATTAAATCATCTAGAAAATTTACTCTATATTTTACATAAATGTATTAATTACTCATATAATATGATATTTACCATGGTACCACCACTTTGTTTTTTTGGGATTTTTATTACATGTTTTCACATAAAACGAATTATCAGGTGGCCTTTTCTAAAATATAGAAATAATTTTTTTTTTTAATATTTTGCATTAAATTCAGGTAAAGATTTCTTTCTTACCTTCTCTTTACAACTGCTTAACATTGATATAATACTTAAACAAATTCCTTGCACACTCAGAGCTGGAGACCAATCATCAGTCAAAATAGATAAGCAGATATGACCATTACTATAAATATGTGGATGTACTGGTATATTTCCACCTATGAAAGTTACTTCCGGAGAATCGAATGGATATTTAGAACTGAATTTAAATTGCAATTGGAATTGTTCACCTTCATACAAGGTACCCTTTGCACCTTCCATGTGAACAATCCATTGTGTTAAATTTTGACCAGTAAGATCTTCATCTACATGTACACCCGGTGGAGGTTCACGTATTAAAGACATTAATTCTTTCTGTAGTCTCCGCTGAAATATTTTTCAAGTATATAATTGAACTACACAAGCTGTGTAAAATATTTTTATTTCAA